GTAGCGGTGAAACCTGATGGCGCTTAAATGACCAAAATTGTGTCGATAGTGCCGTAAAATATCTACCCAATCAATCAATCAATCAAAACAGTTATCAAGGTCGGTCTTGGTTTCTGGACTTTATTTATAAAATAATAAGCAAACTTTTGGGGTCGTTCTGAATCGCTTAAAGAATTCGGGAGACTTGTCTCCACGATTTTGAATTTTCCAATTTAGAAACATAGTATTTCTTTTTGGCACATTTAGTTACAAATTTCATCTCTTAGAAACACTGCCCTTTCTTTATGGCTTCATCACATCCCCAGAGAACCAAGGCCACAATTTCCATTATGGAGAAGCCTTTCCAGCTCATGACTGCGGACAGCGCCCTTTGATAAGGTCTTTGGGGGAAAAAAAGCATTATCATAACAGAAAAAGTCGCACCACGGTGGTTTTCGCAATACTCAAATCGACAGAATCGATTCGGCTTGTATCAACCCCCTAAAGATTATGTACCTTCCAGATTTAGAGGCACCGGGAATTAAATTTTTGTGTGGCCAAAGAGTCTTATTGGTTTTGCTCTTGTCTGGATACTGGATTCGTAGCATAGGCATGTATTGCAATAGCCTAGATCGTAGACTCTGACGGAATTCCGGTTCACTATGGCGTGTACCTATTTACTCAATTTGCGGTACTAATAGATTCTATCTGCTCAGTGCAGTCTTTTTAGAACTTTGACATCAAAATTTTTGTTTCACAACACGTCAAGTTTTTTGGAATGCAATTCTTGGAATATTTGCAAAGACAATGTCTGGCCATCCTTTTAACATAGCAATAGATTTGCGGCGAAAAACCTTTTCTGCACTTACTTGACAAAAACTGAGTCGATAGCGCCGTAAAACACATACTCAATCATTGAAATATCTTGATAACGACTCAGAATAATTATTCTTATGATTTTGATAGAGCAGATAGAACATTTGGTTTCTGACCTCACGGTCTTAGTAATTCAAAACGGCCAAAATTGTCAGATAGAACTTTGTGATTCGGAGGTAGCAAACTTTAGCGGCACTGGGTTTGTCCTTCGTTTGGGTGACCACGGTGCGCACGCTCCACGGCGAATTTTTTATTGAGAGTAAAAGATCCGCGGCCATGACAGTGCTCGATCTAAGAGAGTGTGTTTCAAATCTTTGGGATCTAAAATCCGACTTGTGTGGAAAAGTCGGCGGTGCGGGAATCGTGGCGCAGGGTAGGTCTAGAGCGGAAGAGAGGAGGATTTCGCAGCAGTGTGTGTGTGTGTGCATTATGTGTGCGTATGTATACTATTAGCTGCACCCAGTCGAGTTTGCGCGAGCAGCTTTGTGTGTAGGTTACAGGGTTTCTAAGACGCTAAAAGGATTTTTAATAAGACGGGTATTCAAGGTACCGTTCTTATGGTGGGTACGTTTGCCTACTTTAGCTTTCTTTTTTTCGTTATTTTGTTGTTGTTTTCTTCTCTAGTTTACTACAGAATGATTGGAAAATTTTCTGATATTCTATTCTTTTTCTTACTTTGTAAAACAGATCATTCTGTCCTGGCTGTCTCCCATTAAGTTTTTAAAAATAATCTCTATTTGATAGACGTGTTAACAATTCGGAGTTTTTTGTGCTTTTTAAAAATCCTTTTAAAGAAATCTCTATTTGACAGACATATATTAATACTAAGTATCAATCTATAAATATCAATCTATAAAATAATGTTAAACTTTGTTTAGTTTTTGTCTTTATTGTTAAAGAACGATGGCCGGGTTTCTGTGATACTTTCTTTCTTTCACTTTTTTTAGTTGCCCTTAAAAAGAGGCGTGAATGCCGAGGGTGAGAGTGCTGGTTTTAGAATGAAAATACGTCGTCGAAATAAACGACACTGACCTAGATCTCTCTCATGACGTAGTAATTACCCCCCCCCCCCCCCCCCCACTACACCCACAAGCATGCACACGCACACACGTGCACACGTGCACACGGACAAACGCCCACAAAGCATGAAAACGCCCCCCCCGCCGCGCGCCGGCCGCGCTTTTGCCCGCGCCCCCATAGGCCCACATATGCACACATATCGCACCCACACACACACACACACACACACGCACACACACACACACACACACGCGCGGGCACACGCACACGCACATTCACCCGGGCCCACGCACAGGCACACGCGCACGCACACGCACACACTCGCATACGCACGCATACACACGCACGCACACGCATACACACGCATACACTCGCGCGCACGCACACACACACACACACACACACACACACACACACACACACACACACACACACACATACATACACACATACACACACTTTCCTCAAACTCAAAGTATGTTTTAGAATGACATGCTGTGGATAATACGATATCGAAATAAGTTGAAATTCTCCAAATTGGCCTCTTATTGTCGAGTGAAAAAGTGTGTTTTTTTATACAAATGAACGTCAATGACAGTGTTCTTTTATTATAAAATGACCCCCCCCCCCCAAAAAAAAAGCAGTGGGAAGGGGGGGGGGGGAGAGTGAGAAGTGCTCGTTTGTAAACATGATGTAAATGTCTTGGAGAGGTCGTTGTTAGCGCAGGATCGACTGCATCAGCCAGAGACATATTGGCCGAGTACAATAGTCATAATAGTAAAAGTTCAAAAAATGTTCTCGAAAATGTCACTATATATTTTGCTTTCTTTATACTTGCCCATTGGAGATCTGAGCTTATTTTGCTGGCCATACTTTTATTTCCCTCTTTTGTTTCTGGCTGCTGTCAATATACTGGACTGTTTTTACTATTAAATTTTTACAGTGAATTTTTTACTTCAATCATAAGGTAAAACCATGTCGTGCTGTGAACTGACGCGAAAGGAACCAGCTTAAAGTCGAACATGACCTTATGCGATTGCGAGCGCCGTAAAACTCTCACCAAATTACCAGATTAAATAATTATTCTCGGAAAAAGCATTCATTGGCTTGGCCAATGTTTTAAACATTTAAAAAATGAATATCATTTCTGGGTTTGTAAGAGAGTATCTTAAATGTGTATTCTGGTAAATTTTAAAACACGGTTCTTTTTTTGGGTTCTCACTCTTCTCGTTCCTTAGCCACAGAAGCTGTATTGTATAATCGAATTATATCTACAGGATACTGTAGCCCTCTCAGTTTTCTTCTGACAGAAACGGCCGAAGCTGCCAGCCCCTAAATTATGTCCTCGGGTTTGTGAACATTTACAATCAGTTGAAGTGGTTATATAGCATATATTGTCCAGACACCATCTGAGCGGAACAACCATTTATTTTTCCATCCATTTTTTAAACAGCGGTTAAATGTACTTCTCTCGTAGCTCAAACAAAAGAAACACCAATCCCACTTAAGTTCAAACTCTCTAAAGGGCTAAAGAATTGCTGCAATGCTTCACTGTGTACAATACCAGTGACAGCATAGTCATGTTTGTGAATTATACAATCTCCTAAATGCTCTTACACCGTGATTGCATGCCACTCAGTGCTGTCACCCGTTGATAAATGAACGCTCCACGAAGTTCTACTCTATGGTTAAACCAATGTATACCCGTACATTTTCGACTGATCAACTGCCCCAGAATAGTTCGATCACCTTCCAGTCGCTGTGATCTAACGATTATTTGCATAGACAGATCGAAGCCGTTATTGATTTTCCAAAGCTTCTGGGCCCGCAAGCCTTTGGGGCTTCCTGCGGGTGTAGTTAAGTGTCAGAGTGGAAGAAGGTCTTTAGAATTATCTGGGGGACGCGTTATATTGTGTTATGAGCAGGGAGAAGAAATTACGTTGCATTAACTTTAAGATATTATGGTTACCCCCCCCCCCTCTCTCTCTCTCTCTCTCTCTCTCTCTCTGTCTCTCTCGCTCTGTCTGTCTGTCTGTCTGTCTGTCTGTCTGTCTGTCTGTCTGTCTGTCTGTCTGTCTGTCTTTGTCTTTGTCTTTGTCTTTGCCTTTGCCTTTGTCTTTGTCTTTGTCTTTGTCTTTGTCTTTGTCTTTGTCTCTGTCTCTGTCTCTGTCTTTGTCTCTGTCTTTGTCTCTGTCTTTATCTCTGTCTTTGTCTCTGTCTTTGTCTCTGTCTTTATCTCTGTCTTTGTCTCTGTCTCTGTCTGTCTTTCTCTATATGTCTCTCTGTGTCTGTCTCTGTCTCTGTCTCTGTCTCTCTCTCTCTTTCTCTTTCTCTCTCTCCCTGTCTCTCCCTCTCTCTCGCTCTATCCCCCCCTCTCTCCCCCTCTCTCTTTCACTCTCTCTCTCTCTCTCTCTCTCTCTCTCTCTCTCTCTCTCTCTCTTTCTCTCTCTTTCTCTCTCTTTCTCTTTCTCTTTCTCTCTCTCCCCCCTCTCTCTCTATCTCCCCCTCTCTCTTTCACTCTCTCTTTCTCTCTTTCTCTCTCTCTCTCTCTCTCTCT